CCCCAAAACCCCAAAACCCCAAAACCCCAGTATTTATTATTCAAAATAAATATTAGTTTTAAAGAATGAAATAAATTTAGAATTGCACTCACTTATATTTTATTTCTGATTACAAAAAGTGTGGTTGGCTAGTGATCCTTTTAATTAGAATTATCTGAGTCTCAATATATGATGGGCATATTGACCTCAATTTCTCTCAATTATCTTTTAGTTCTATTATGAAATATGTTTGGTTTGGATTTAAGATCAAGAATCTTGTATTTACCGTCATAATCTTTAAACTGGTGTATAGACTAATAGTTAAAAATTCCTTCATAGCTTGACTTGATTATAACTTTCTTCTCGTAGTCATTTATGTCAAGTAAATAGATATTGTGGTAATCTTTAACTATTAAGTATGGATATCTTTCAAAGGAATAATCTAATGTCTAATAAATAGCAGCATCTCCATGAAAATATAGCTGCTGTAGGCACTCTTAGGTTTCAATGTTATAAAATATTATTTTTCCTAATTTTTTTGATAATGCCACAACATTCTACCTAACTTCTATGACAGTACTACATTCATTTTAAAGAAATGCTTTTTACTCTTCAACTAGGTGGAATTCATATTCTTGATCATCTCTTTTTTTAAAGTATCCAACATATAATCCATCATAGCAAGCAAAAGCAAATTTAAGCATATTGTCTTGGTCGTTATTTGAATTGGTGAGTCTGCAAATATCATTGACCGCTATCACTTCTCTTATTTAGAATGTTTATTGCTATTCTATTCTCTCTTGACTAAATATCTGAATATAACCATTGTCTTATCCTGTTAAAAGAATGTTATCTGTGAATCTAATAATTTTATTCACTCCGCTTTTTGTTTAAATTTTTGGGAAATTTGCAATTGTCTCTATATCCTAAACAAAAATTGAGTAATTCTGAGCTTGGTAGAGAGTATTAGAATCAACAAACTTGCATCTAAAATTAGTACCTTCAAGACATTTAATACTAGCTTTTCACATATCTTAGTCTAGTTTATAACCTTAACTAGTAGTTGAAGACACCAATATAGAATCATTATACTTGTAGACTGAATCAAATTAAGGTCCTAGATCTTTAAATTTCTTAGTAACCTTAGTTTTAAAATCATGATCTAATAAATTGATGCAGAGCTTCTAGCTATTCACAAGATTATTAATGTATCTAGAAATTTCTTATTAAGCTTCACTAACTTGGATAATCATTAAGTCATGCAGATTTTCAATGTTGAATTATTGATATTGATCAAGCAATGTAAATATATTTCTTTAGATATTTTCTAGAGTTTTATTGTTTTATTACATTTACTAAATAACTATTTTTTTCTAGTACTCATATATAAATTTAGGTTCATCTAAGATCTCAATTAAAACCTTAAGAATGTCTTAAATAGAAGCTCTTTCTAATGGCTCAAATTTAAGCATTCCATTTAGGATGCCCTGAAATATTTAATATTATTGTGGCATCTGCAAAGTTTCAGTTTTATTATCTAGCACATATTTCCAGAAGAATTTTTTATTCTGTCCATTTCCAAATATATACTTATTGCTTCCAGTACACAAGTAGTATAGTAACACTCCTGCTGACCATATGTCAAAAGTTTTATCTTAGTTAACAGTTTCATCATAGGCTTCAGGAGCCATATACTAATCTTTGCCTGATGAAATTTTAGTATAACTTCCGAATGATGCTACTCCAAAATCACATATCTTAAATGTTTCTTCTCCTATTTATAAAATGTTGTCTGGGGAAACATCTCTATGTGTAATTCCTTCTTTATGTATAAATTCTAATCCTGTCAAAATCTGAATCATGATCTTGCATATCAAGTGAATGTCTAGCTCTTCATTTTTTGCAACCAAACTTTTTTTGAATTAATCCAAATCTTGAGTGCCTAGTTCTTGGATCATAATGAATTGCCCATTATCTGTAATGAAGGAATCATAAACCTCTATGATACTAGGATGCTTTAGTTGTATTGTCTAGATTTCTCTCATTATTCTTCTGATCTTTATATGCACATCGTCTCTACCATTTTTCATTTGCTCACTCATATCCTGTTATTTGAGCGCATAATGCTTATTATCTGTGATGTCAGTTACTTCAAAAACTTTTCCAAATCCCCCTTTCTTAGAAATAAGCTTTTCAACTCTATATTTCTCATCTATTTACCTTATTTTCATTTGTATAAGATTTTCCATTTTAAAAATTAAATTAATTGATCATTTTTATTCTTAATCTTTATTATGCCTCTAATTAAACTAGCAAATTAAACAAGCGGGGTTTTGGGGTTTTGGGG